TGAAACTGATGTTGGTCCAAATACATCCGAGTGAACAAGCTCCAACTTCTGAGCTTTCGGTGTCTTCCCCGTCTTTACAAAAGTAACCCGCTTTTGTTTCCCGAGAACACAAGATTCACAAAATTCAGTTTCAACTTTCTTCAAGTCTGGAAACTTCCCTTTCTGAGCCAACATCTTCAATCCCTTATCGCTCATGTGTCCGAGTCGTTGGTGCCATAAATTAGATGGACTCGGATTGATGGTTACGGCATGAACACCATCACCAGGTATTTCTACCATGTATAAAGTGTCTTTCTTCTTTCCTTTGGCAATCACCAAGTTGCCTTTGATCACTTTCCATTGTCCACCCCCAAAGTGAACATTAAGTCCTTCATCATCCAACTTACCAACTGAAATCAACTTTCTCCTTAAGTTTGGGATAACCCTGACATCTTTCAATGTCCAGGTGGTTCCCATGGAGGTCTTCAAATCTACGTCTCCTATACCCGTAATATCAAGCACTTGATCATCGGCCAAACTAACTTTGCCAAAGTCACCTGTTTGTAGGTTCTTGACCATATCTGGGCATGAGACAGCATGGAAAGAGGCACCCGAATCCATAATCCAGGATTCCATTGAATTCTCAACACAACATATGAGAAAATATCCCGATTCTTCAGAGGATACATTGTGTACTTCTTTCTTTTCAGCTTGTGGTTTTGGACATTGGTTTCTAAAGTGACCTTTTTCTTTGCAATTCCAACATTCAATATCTTTTCGGTTCTTGGACTGCCCCCTTTTTCTAGACTTTGATCTGCCTCGACTACGTCCTCTTTCTTTTCTTCTTCCACTACTTTCTGTATGCAACAAAGAACTAGAACTAGAAGTCTCACCATTGCTTCTCCGTCTGATATCTTCATTTACAATCAAGTCACGAATACTCTCGAAAGTGAGTTTAATAGTGCCGGATGCACTACTAACAGCTGTGACGGTGCCTGACCAACTATCAGGCAAAGATGATAAAAGGAGGAGCGCTTGTACTTCATCTTCAAACTTTATTGCAACTGAGGCTAAACGAGAGATAATCGAGTTAAACTCGTTTATGTGAGCGGTAACTGACATGCCTTCCTTCATTTTGGTGTTAACCAATTGTTTGATGAGGAACACTTTGTTGGAAGCGGACGGCTTCTCGTACATGTTGGACAAAGCCTTAAATACTCCATAAGTAGTTGTTTCATTAACAATGTTATACGCAACACTCTTTGCCAATGAAAGCCTAACTACACCCAAGGCTTGTCGATCCAACAACTTCCATTCTTCATCATACATGTCATCCGGTTGTTCGCCCAACATAGGCAAATGCAAACTTTTCTGATACAACATATCTTCAATTTGCATCTTCCAAAATCCATAATCGGTTCCATCAAACTTGTCAATTTTGATTTTACCATCTTCTGCCATTTTTGCAATTTTCTGAAAGAACAGGGACCTGTCTTGTAATTTTCTGGAACTTTAGGGACCAAATCTGAGTTTTTCAAATTCTGCTACAGTGACGCTACAGTGTCGCTACAGTGTCGTCTTCACCGGCAGGTCTCCGGCGTACAGTGTCGTCTTCTCCGGCAAGGCTCCGACGTACAGTGTCGTCTTCTCCGGCAAGGCTCCGGCGCTACAGTGTCGTCTTCTCCGGCGAACTGGTTTTCCCGGTCACTATTCCGGCGAACCTTTGACCGGCGATTTGGACGTCTTCCGGTGGTCGAAAAATTCAGAAAAAAATATTTTCGGAATCTTCGGAACGAGACCTTTCTAACGGTATACACCAAAATCGTTTTTGACGAAAACAAATTTCGACCAAAAAACTGAAAATCACCTTCTGGAGCTAAACCAACGCTCTGATACCACTTGTTAGGATCGAGACACGAACACAAAACTCTCACTCTCAGCTCACGAATTATAGATTAACAAGAACACAAAGATTTAAGGTGGTTCGGTCTATTTCTGACCTACGTCCACACGAGGGTAACTTGGAGCTTTTATTTATCTTCAGTGATGTTGGTTTTTGTTATTTACAAAATACAGAGTAATCTCTTATATAGAGATGGAAATCAGAAGTAGTCAAAAAAACACAGCCGGGTCTTCAACCAGACTTTAAGAAAAAAGCCTCAAAACATGGTCCGTAAGAACCGGATCACCATTCCTTTTTAATCAACATTTTTGACTAACTTTTCTGTGGATTCACACTCAATAGGATGAAATCACATGAGTTGGCATGAACATCATTCGATGCTTGGAGAAGAAGAAAAAAATGTTTTCCTTTTACAATTCGCGAGGAATCAAGATGTATGGATTCAAGTGAGGCCATGGTGGAAGAAAACGTGTTCTAGGATGCATATGGTGGGAGGTTATGTCAACTGATTCAAAAGCAAACATCTGGGCCCACAGAGAATTTTAAAAGGAAAAGCAATACATTCTCCTTGGTGCTATGTGAATGTAGAAAAGGTCAAAAGCTATTTAGTCTGATGAATATGTTCAGGTGGGATCTCCTTGAAATCCATTGTGGTAAAGAAAGAAGCATGGCTACCATTTTAAAATTGAATGAAGTAAATGATATGCATGGAATCTTGTCTCAAGTAGGTAAATATGGTCATCCTTGTGATTTTATCCTTAAAGAGAAATTAAATATCCTCCTAAATATGTAAATTACACTACTAATCTTATACCAACCTATTGTATTAATTCATTCAGTCCAAAATATGAGATTAATTAATACATTCACCGTAATACGCAGGGCATAAAACCTCATTTTAGTTAAAAGTTAGGCGGGCCCAAAAACCAGAACTTGTTTTACTATATATGTTGTGATAAATATAGTTTTTTGAAAATACATTGGATTGGTAACAAATTTGCAAAATACTATACTGTTGTACATGCAACACTAGTTATTTTTCGGGGCTATTTAGTGGAGGTATGGTAAATCCTAAATATTTTGTTTGGAAATTTCTGATAGTTCTACTGCTTACTGGAAATCTTGAAAATTTATGATCCACTGGTAATACTCTTATCTCAGCTTACCCAGGTGTATATACGAAACTCAGAGAAGGTTTTGGTGGGGTGTCATTTTCTCCACTACTGAGGAAGTCTTGCAAGATGTAACATCTTATCTTATCTTGTTCTCAAGTGGGATTTTGCTCTCCTTAATGGTTTTGGTGGGGTGTCAAAAAAGCACTGTTGCAGTTTACTTAATGGGTTTAATTATTCAAACATATAACCCATTTGTTTATTCAAGAATACATTTATCATTTTAACATATAATTAATTTGCTCATTCAAGAATCGATTTAGCATTTTAACTTGTAGCTCAGTTGATAATTATTCCTACATATGATTGTCCTAATTTTCTCAATTAAAAGTTCTAGTTTCTGTTCACAGGAAGATGTAACATGGCTTGCCATGGTAATCAATTAAATATTGAACATGGCTTGATATAAAAATCAAAGTGAATATTAAATTATTAATGTGTCATGCACTCTCATGAAGTTACGTAAAATGTGAATGAACATAAAGTTAAGAATGGTTTAATTGCTTGGAGATGAAAGATAACAATTAAATTTAACTAAAGATCGTTTGAGAGTGGGCTGAAGAAGAAGTCGGTGAAGCAGCAGCGCCTGATGAAAAAGCGTTGGCTGAAGTAACGTTGCCGAGGGAAGGAACGCTGGTTGAAGAAATAACGCCGTCTGTGTTTCTTAGAGTTTCTAAACATGGGCTTTTTGTTTCTTAATTAAATACCTAAAAATTAAATCAAGGCCTGAGGCTATATTTGTCCATAAACTCTTTTTTTTTTTTTTTTTTTTTTTGTGGATGGATTTGAAAATCCCGTGGATAAATCAGGAGCCATTGTAATTAGTCCACAAAATTATGATTATTATGTATACTATTCAGAAAACATTATAAATGGCTAAATATTAGTAATTAAAAAAAAAATTAAAAATAAAAAAAGCAAAACCCTGAATCAGTAAAAGAAACCACTACATTCTCGTATTGAAAACCATCAATTTTCTTAAAATTATCCTTATCTTTAGAAAATAATAAAAAGAGAAAACCGTCGATTGAGAAGGCAAAGGAGAACCACACCATCTTATCCTATTTTGCAGTCTCCCTTCCTTCCTCGTCCACTTGACATTGCCCTGCAGACAAAACTCTGTAATTTTCAGTCGTCAACATTCTCAGACTCGTCACTGCTTGTTCGTTCTCTAACATCGCTGCATCAGGTCTGCTTGTCTTCATGTCGGTAGTTAACTATGAAGGGACATTCTTTTAGTTTAGTTTCACATGTTGTTAGACAATTTCATGTTATTAATCATAAATTATACCATAATCATTTTTTTTTTGTTAACAGATGATTGAATTTGTGTATTTCAATTACTGTTGCTCAATTAATTCTGGAGAGTTTAAAATTGAAACCTTGTTTAAAATTGAAACCTTAGACAAGGCATGGCTTGTTAGTTTCAAAAGCATATCATTTGGATCAAGCCCAAGAATAAAAATCGAAATTCTTTAGATACATGCTAATACTAGATCAAGTGAAACAGAATTTCAAAGTTGAAAAGATTTTTGTTGCTAATTTAGTGGATCTATAAACATCCTTGTCAAGAAACGTACTCCTTTTTTGTTTAAATCTTTTAATTGTTTGTTGATATGCAGTGCAAGCTTGAAATTTCCTCTGTGTATTGCAATTTCTCTTATGAGGGCTAACAGTGAATCTTGTACTAGTTGTTTACAGAATGGTATTTGGTGTTGATTTGTTTAAGTGAGCATCAAATGGATTTTATTTATACAATAGCAGGCATGTTTATGTGAGTTAATCAAATCCAAAAGAAGGGTTAAAACACACACTCTGTACTATATAGCTCCAAATCTACTCGAAACTTGAAGTTTGGGAATAAAAAGTGCCATATTTACACATTTAGAGTTCATATGTGTTGTAATCTAATCACTATAAAGTTTATTTTCGAGGATTCCGAGGGTTCTATTATCATTGACTTTCAAATTGTTTGATGAGGTTTAAGTTGCATACAGTATATATTAATATTTTCGAATTTATGTAGAGGCATTATGTACTAGATCCCTACATTGAAAAACATGTTAGGAAAGCCGGTGAAACCAACTTTCATAACCCATAACATGTGGAGGAGTTTCAGAACTTACTAAGATACACCCTGTATATAAGGAGAAACTTTAAATAAATAAACAAAATCGTGGGAAGGGTGCCATAACTCATAATGGTTGTTTTATCTGAACTTCCAGAAGCATCTTCATCTTCTTCATCAGCTCGTGTTCCTACTTCATCAACTCATGGTCATAATTCATCAACTGATGGTTATAGATATGATGTATTTTTAAGTTTTAGAGGTGTTGACACTCGTCATAGTTTCACTGATCACCTTCATAAGGCCCTCATTGATGCTGGTATCAATACCTTCTTGGATGATGAAGAGATTGAAACAGGGGAAGATCTTAAACCAGAACTGGAGAGTGCAATTAAGGCGTCTCGGGCTTCTATTATTGTGATGTCTAAGAATTACGCTACTTCAACATGGTGCCTCGATGAATTGGTGTTGATCCTTGAGCAGTGTATGACATCCAATCATATTGTCATCCCAATATTTTATCATGTGGAGCCCACGCATGTGAGGAAGCAACAAAGTAGCTTTGGAGATGCAATGGCTAAGCATAAACAGACAATGGAGGCTGAGACAGATGCAAATAAAAGAAGTCAATGGGCTCAAAAGATCGACAGATGGAATAAATCGCTTACACAAGTTGCTGATTTAAAAGGGAATGATATAAATGGCAGGTGACCACTTTCGTACCCTTATTCATCTCCCTATGCATAAATCATCAAATAGACATATATCTGATGTATAAGGATAATATAGATGATGCACATAATTGAGAATAAGTTTTCAAATATGTGATCTCATAAACCAGTTCATATAGATGGATTAGCCATTCTGATAACTTTTACATGTTTGTTATGCGTTTTGTATTTTATCATAAGCTAGTGCATTTAGATGAACCTTCTCCATGATTTTTACATGATTTTTATTTAAAAACCAAAGTTTGATGGGTTTGCTATGCCTTTACTAAAAATTATACCATACTACCTTCAAATCATAGTATCTTATATGATAAATAACTGCTTTTAGTTGTATGTAGTAAAAGATAACCTATAACTATGTTATTGCATTTTGTTCAAATCCATGTAAAACCACATTGATGGTTAAGTTTGATGGTCTTGTAGAAACATCGTGAAGTTTGGTGGCCTATTAGTGAAATCTTGTATTTCGTTGGTTGCTTTGGTCATATTATAAACAATTATTTATGACCATCCATTAGCGAAATCTTGTATTTCATAGCATTTTGTTGAGATTGATGCAAACTACAATATGGTTTTGATGTGAGAACTAAATTAGTAATTTAAAGCTATGATATAATCTTAGTTTGGATCTTTAAATAAATTAAGTCTCCCAGTCTGGTTCATTAGTTTTGTAGATTGTGTTTTGAAGTTCTTATATAATCAAGTTTCAGGTCCGAGACACAGTTTATTGAAGAAATTGTGAAGGATATCCACCGTAGATTACATTTACACGTAAGGAGCGTTCGACCACAACTTATTGGGATGGAAAATCATATTAACTTTGTAACTTCATGGTTGAAAGATGGATCCTCACATACGGTAGACGTACTTACTATTTATGGTATAGGTGGGATCGGGAAGACATCTTTAGCAAAATATGTCTATGGGCTATATTCTCATGAATTCAACACAAGCAGCTATATTGAAAATATCACTAGGAAATGTGATGGAAAGTTTAATGGGTTGCTTGATTTACAAGAACAACTCTGTAAGGACATTTCAAAAACAAGTTCAATTAAAGTTCATGATGTTTCAGTATACACCGCAAAGATAGAGAATGCATTAGCCCGTAAAAGGGTGTTTCTAGTTCTTGATGATATCAGTACTCATGTTCAGTTGGATGCATTACTTGGAAGCAAAGGCTTTCATCCCGGAAGCAAAGTTATAATTACAACAAAGGACAGTTGGTTGACTGAGAGTTGTTCTTTATTTAAAACAAACATTAAACCCAAACATGAAAGACATTTGCTTCGAGGCTTAGATGATTTTGCATCACAACAACTTTTGTGGTCCCATGCATTCACGTGCAATCAACCCAAGGCGGGATATGAAGAGGTGTCTGATAAGCTTGTTAAGTATTGTGAAGGACATCCATTGGCTCTTGAAGTTTTGGGAAAGTCTTTGTATAATCGAGATGTAGCTTATTGGGAAGGGTGCATCGAAGGGTTAAAGAAAGAAATTAGTTCCCCTATAAATAATGTCTTGAAAATGAGCTTCGACTCCTTGCCATACGAAAATGATAAGGAGTTGTTTAAGCATATTGCTTGTTTTTTTGTTGGAATAGATAGAGATGTTACCGAAACAATATTAGAGGCATGTGATATAAACACAAGATCCGGGATCACGAATCTCATTGACAGATGTTTTCTTAGTATAGGATGGAATAATGAATTGGAGATGCATCAGTTGGTTCAAGAGATGGGAAGATTTGAAGTACGTCAAGAATCAATTGACAAGCCATGGAAGCGAAGTCGATTATGGTGCCATAAGGAGTCATTCAAAGTGTTGAAACAAAAAAAGGTAAGAGGCCGTCCATGCTTTTAGTAATGTGTATGTCCATTATATTTTGTATTGCCTAATTTATTTATTTTTTTCATTATGTTTCTTATCAGGGTAAGGGAAATCTACTAGGCCTTACCCTTGACATGCGCATGCTTGAGAAAGAGAAGTTGGGTGTATCGTATGAGTTGAAAACTGATGCATTAAGTAACATGGATAATTTGATGCTACTACAACTCAATTATGTGCACATGAATGGGTCTTATGCAAACTTTCCAGAGGAATTAAGAGGCTTGTGTATTCATGGATTTCGTTTAAAGTCAATACCTTTAGACTTACCGATGATGAATTTGGTTGCTCTTGACGTGTCATATAGCAATATTGAATCATTTATTGGTTGTTATAACAATCCACAGCGGCTTGAGAAGAGGCAAAAGGTAACTTATCTTCATTTATTATTCATCCATCTTGCAATGATGAAATTCTCTACTGTTGTAACTTATTTCCATTTCCGCAGTTGGATGAATCGTGCTTAAAAGAGAAAAGGTTGCTTGGATCACTGAAGATTCTTAATTTAAGTTTCTGTAAACAACTTCGTAGTCTTGGTGATTTTGACCAATTTCCTGCTCTTGAGAGGTTAATAGTTAGAAATTGCGTTAGTTTGCTCGAGGTTTGTGAATCAATTGAGCATTGTGTTGAACTTGTGTTCATCGATTTGAGCTATTGCAAGAAGCTTGAAAAACTTCCAACAAACATAGGCATGTTGAAGAACGTTAAAACAATGTTGCTAGATGGTTGTAGTCCTGGTGGATCTCGAATCCATAATAGGGATATGGATTCACTGAAATTGTGCAAGGCTAACAACGTTGACATAAATACAAGAACCTCTTCCTCTGCTTTTGTGGGTGCTATACCAAGTGATTTGAAGTTGTTTACAGTTTATTTACCGAGGTCTTTAGTAAGTTTGTCACTAGCAAATAGTAATTTGTCCACTAAATCCTTTCCCATGGACTTGAGTTGCCTATCCATGTTAAAGGAATTATATTTAGATGGCAATCCTATAAATTCCATGCCCAGTTGTGTGAGAACCCTTCCTATGCTTGAGATACTTAGTATGGAGAATTGTATAAAATTAAAGTCAGTTGAGCATCCTCCACATACACTAAGCATGTTGCTCTTTTCTGCTAATGGGTATCCTTTAGGCAAAGTCGTATTTGATCCAAAGATGTCCCCACTAGAGCTATCACCAGGGCGGGCGTGGTTGGTTTATCCAGGTTTGTCATATGAAATTGAAGGCATTGTGAAAATCCAACCAATGGTATGTGTTGAGGAAAAGTTATTACGTAGCTTGGGCTGGAGTAATTTAGACTTCCTTACCGAAAGGCAGTTGGGAGCTAATTCTCAGGAATCTGGAACCCAGGTTTATTTTAGTTAATTGTTTGTCTCTATGTGAATATGTATAATATACTTCTTATGGTTATTGATTAAGGTGGTTGTATTTGGCAGATGATGGTTTATGAATTTGGAATATTCAGCACAAGGTATGAGGCGGAGCAGATGCCGAGTTGGTTTAGGCATAGAAGCATGGGGCCATCAATATCATTTACCATCCCATCATCATCATCTCCAAACAAGCTCCTTACAGGACTCAACTTCTGCTTCTCTGCTGACACATTGAAACCCCCCGATGATTCTTTTCCTGTTCCATATGGCCAGTTCCCTTGGAGGCCAATGATGACAATTAGTAATATAACAAAGAATCGCACGTGGATATACGAACGTATCTTGGAAAGAGATCGTGTAGATCCAAAGTGTTGGGTGTTGTTAAGTCATTGGATGTTTGGGATGAATGAGATGGAGGCTGGTGACCATGTTACTATTACTGTTACGGATCAAGATGATCAAGTTACAAAGGAGTGTGGGGTGAGTCTTGTGTATGATGATGGAGAGAAGATGGATGAAGAAGAAGATGTGTTGGGTTATTACAAGTCATGGAATCACATAATTGGTGGAGATCTCTCTCCTTTTCAAACTACTACAGGACAATTCGTTCTAAGAAACCGGCAGTTTTTTTCATGTGGCATTGTATTGTATCCATATCATCGTAAATTCGTTACGGACGGCCCCAACTTTCAAGGTAGATGTGATTTTTATTAAATATTTTTTATTTTCGTGTCTTATGTATAATGACCTACCTGACCCATCACCCACTTTCTTTATATCGATGGATAATGACCCATTAATTTTAACACATGATCATAACTTAAATCTTTTAAACAATTGGATCATATGACCCAAATCCACTCATTTACTATTGATTTTATTGACCTATAACATAAGATTTTGTTTTTATAAAGTATAAAAAATAAAAGTTGTACTTTTAATTTTTAAAATAAATAGACCCAAGCATTGATTCCATCTAGTCTAAAGCAGGAGGTCCAGGAATTCCGTTATGGGTGAAGCACTGCACTCTCTTTGTTTTTGGCTTGGTATGGTGTGCTGGCATCCATTTTACCCTACCCTGAGGAGTATTTAAGATTTTCATTTTCTAGAAGATTGTTAGCTAAGAAAATTGTAGTAGGAAAAACTAATGGAGAAGCCCTTCCTCTGGAAAGAATAGGAAAACCCTAATATATATATATATATATATATATATATATATATATATATATATATATATATATATCAGTTAGTGGTTTTTGGTTGTGATTAATTTCTTGCTTATTCTCTTTAATCTATGTGGGAGCTTATCAGCACACTCAATTGATCAAGGCTTTTTTGATATGTTGGATCACATATAAAACATTCATTAGTAGTAACTTGTTTCTGGTTGTGAATTTCCTTCTTATTCTCTTTACTCTATGTGGGAGCTTATTATTACCCAATATGTACTACAACTATGTCCAAGTGGATTGTTTGTGAATAATGATTAACATATCACTTTTTATCTGTTTTCAGCACCAAAGGAAAAAGGTTGGTTCAGAGCTTTCTCCCCAAGAAATCCTGGCATAATTGGTCGTGCAAATGAGGTATACCTTTTGACACCCGAACTTTTCACTCTTCATGTGAACAAAAGGCATACGCAACCAAATATTAGGAATCAAAGTTCTGGATTCGTTTAGGATGTAATAAAATAAGAGGAGTTATAACCTTGCAATGAACGTTTGAAAATGGCAACATTAAAATTTTGAATCATTTTCTGTTCATACCATGTCTAGATACAATGGGTCAAAATCTAGGATCAAATTCTCACCATTCCCTGTACTTGATATGCATTTGAGTCAAATTCATAGATTCATCATGTTCAGTAGATGTTCTTGGGCAAATTCTATGTTAATCATAACCAGAGTAAAGAGAATAAGAAGGATGTTGAGAGTGCATAAATTACTTCAAGAGTTTGGAAGAGATGTATCACTAGGAGTCATTAATTTTATGTTGAATCAAGAAAATGTAACATAATATATACGCTTCCAAGTAACTATCTGTTTTCGTAGCATTTTGTATTGTATCTTGTATAATATATAACATATAAATTTTTTTCTTACTTTTCCTTTCTATGTAGGGTAAGGGGGAATCTTCACGGTCTCATCCTTCAGATGAAATGAATTGAGAAGGAGATGCTACTTCCTCATAATTTGAACTGAAATCTTGGTTAGCCTAATGTTATTGCAAACTCAGTCATGTGCAAAATTTAACACATTTGGAATTGTATAGTTATCAAAATTAAACACTTTTCGAATTGTGTGCTACTTCCTCATAATTTGAACTAAAATCTGGGTCTCAATCATTGCCTTATCTAAAATGTCAATCGTGTCTATGAACTCAAAATCTCAAATCCTTGATAGGATTCTATAACTTATTTGGGTACTATGTAAAAGTCGCTTGCTACACCTTAATATTTTAACACTCCGATTCTGAAAGATGAGAATTCTCGTATTATTTGTTTTTTTAGAAGCAATACTTTTAGGTCTCTCCTTTTTCTTCACATCACGAAGTTAGGGTTGGAAAACTCTTCTATTAAACACTAAAATAGAATTATAATAGGAGGAGCAACTCTCACACTCAACTATTACATCTCACTAACACTCTCACACTAAGTGTTATACTATCTCTTTCTCTATGTTTGGGATGCTTCACAACTGAAGATGAAGCCTCTATTTATACACATGGCAACCACCATTTATACAACCTTCATCGCTGTAGCTTTGGAGGCTTTGGAGGCACTGTAGCTTTGGAGGCTGAAACACATTAAATCTCCCCCTCCAGTCTCCGTCCAACAATCCTCATCCCAACTCTGTCACCACATAGTTTGTGTTTCTCTTGTGTCACCACCTTTGTCAACATGTCTGCAGGATTGTTGTTGGTGTTGATCTTTAACAACTTCAATTCTCGTCCCTTAATTGCTTCTCTAAGCCGGTGATAACGGATATCAATATGTTTTGTGCGGGAATGGTACATCGAGTTCATACTTAGGTCCATAGCACTCTGGCTATCGCAATGAATGATGTACTCTTCTTGTGGAAAGCCTAATTCTTGAAGAAACAGTTTCATCCATATAAGCTCTTTCCCAGCTTCAACAGCAGCTATATACTCGACTTCTGTAGTTGACAGTGCGACACACTTCTGTAACTTGGATTGCCACGAGATAGCTCCCCTACCAAAGTGAAAATGCAACTTGATGTAGATTTCCTACTATCAAGATCTCCTGCCATATTGGCATCTGTATAACCTTCCACGATTAGCTTTGCTCCCCCGTAACACAAACATAATTTTGAACTACCCTTCAAGTATCGAAGTATCCACTTGACTGCTTCCCAGTGTTGCTTTCCCGGATTAGCTAGATATCTACTCACAACACCAACAGCATGAGCAATATTTGGTCTTGTACATACCATCGTATACATAAGACTTCCTACGGCTGAGGAATAAGGGACTGCTTTCATCTCTTCTTTTTCTTTCTCAGAAGAGGGACAATTTTTCTTACTCAACTTGAAGTGATTAGCCAAGGGTGTTCCAACGGGCTTGGCACTTTCCATGTTGAACCTTTTGATCACACGTTCAACATACTCCTCCTGTGATAAGAACAATTTTTTTGATTTTCTATCACGGATAATTTTCATGCCCAGTATCTGTTGTGTTGGGCCTAAGTCTTTCATATCAAAGAATTTAGACAAATCCTTCTTCAAGTTGTTGATCATCGTTGCATCTTGGCCCACTATCAACATATCATCCACATAGAGCAAAAGGATGACAAATTTCCCATCTGGAAACTTCTTCAGATAGACATAGTGGTCTACAACTGTTCTCTTGTACTCGTGATTCATCATAAATGAATCAAACTTCTTGTACAACTGCCTTGGGGCTTGCTTAAGACCATGCAGGCTCTTCTTTAATTTGCAAACAAGATGCTCTTTCTTTGGGACTTTAAAACCATCAGGTTGCTCCATGTATATTTCTTCATCCAGATCACCATGGAGAAAGGTTGTTTTCACATCCATCTGCTCAAGTTCAAGATCTAGACTGGAAACTAATCCAAGTACAACTCGAATAGACATCATCTTCACAACCGGCGAAAAAATTTCATCAAAGTCGATTCCTTCTTTTTGTTGGAAACCTTTGACAACGAGTCTTGTCTTATACTTCATAGTATTTCCCTTTCCGTCTTTCTTCAACTTGAAAACCCACTTCTTTTTCAAGGATTTCTTTCCTTTGGGGAGTTTCACCAATTCATATGTTTGATTCTTTTGCAAAGAATTCATTTCTTCTTCCATGGCCTTCTGCCAGTTTGCTTTGTCAATATGAGATTGAGCTTCTTGAAAGCTCTCTGGCTCCCCCTCGCTGATAAGAAGGATGTAGTTTGAAGTCAGATATCTTCTTGATGGAGCACGAACTCATTCGGATCGTCGAACTTGATTTCCTTCATTTTCAACTTCTGACAATGGATCTGATATATCCAGGGGTGGAAGCTCCCCCTGCTCAACACCTTCTTGATTTGCATCATCAACTTCTTCATCCTCTTCGTCAGTGGAAACATCATCTTTATTTTCAGAGATTATATCTGAAACTTTGGAGCTTTGTTGCTTGTTAACCGATGCCTTGAAATCATAATACTGGTTTTCATAGAAAACCACATCTCTACTTCGAATAACCTTCTTTAGTTCTGGGTCCCATAGCCTGTACCCAAACTCTTCATCTCCATATCCAATAAAGATGCATGGAGTGGATTCGAGGTCCAACTTCTTCCGCAATTCACTTGATACATGTGCGAATGTCTTGCACCCAAATACTCTTAAGTGAGAATATGATATGTCTTTACCTGTCCATATCTTCTCCGCAACTTCAAAATTCAGTGGAACGGAAGGCGACCTGTTTATTAGATAGCAAGCTGTCAATACAACTTCACCCCAGAATGACTTTGGGAGTTTAGTCATGCTAAGCATGCATCGAACTTTCTCAACAATGGTGCGATTCATCCGTTCTGCTACACCATTGTTGTGTGGGGTTCGTGGGACAGTCTTTTCATGTCTGATACCATGTTCCATGTAGTATGTAGAGAACTCACGGGAATAGTACTCGGCTCCATTATCTGATCTGAGAAATTTCAACTGCTTGCATGTTTGTCTTTCCACCATTGCATGAAAAGCTTTAAAGCGGTCCAAAACTTGGTCCTTCGTCCTCAGACACTATGCCCATACCTTTCATGATGCATCGTCAATGAATGTCACAAAATAACGGCTTCCACCAAGAGATTCTACTTCAATGGGTCCACATATGTCGGAGTGGACAAGGCTCAGCAACTTAGAGCGGTTCTTTCTTGTGGAACTAAAGGAAACTTTGTGTTGTTTCCCAAATAGGCAGTATTCACAAGGATCCAGGGCAACATCTTTTTCCATTGAAATGGACTCCTTCTTTGCAAGAGTCGTCAATCCCTTCTCGCTCATGTGGCCTAGTCTTCTATGCCACAAGTTTGGTGATGTCCCTTCTTCAACAGCAATGAGACTTGGCTGAAGTAGCTTTGCATGACTTTTATAAGGAGTACCATCAAGATGTCCCCTTGCAACAACCATAGCACCTTTTAACAACTTCCAGGTGCCATTTTTGAATTGATTATCATATCCTTGAACATCAAGAGCTCCAACTGAGATAAGATTCATTCTCAGCTCTGGGACATGTCGAACATCTTTCAGCACCAATGTACATCCAACATTGGTCTTTAAATGCACATCACTGATACCAGCAATGCTTGAGAAACTAGTGTTTCCCATCTTCACGGGGGTATATAAGTAGTGAATAAATCCCGGTTTGGAGTCGAATGATATGACGCAACGCTATCAATCACCCACTCATCATTATGAGTTCCAACATGTAGGCATGTTTCCTCCTCGTATGTAACAAGGGCAACGTCTTGTGTTATGGTGACCATGGTTTCACTATTCTCCCTGCTTGAATTCTGGCTTGTCTCGGGCTACTCTCGTAAGAACCTTCGACAATCATTCCTTTTGTGGCCATAATAATTACAATGATTGCAATAGCCTTCGAACCATGTATTTGAAGATTTACCTCGCTCTCGCGATTTCCCTTGGTCTCTTGATTTCCCACGATCTTGGGATCTTCCTCTACTTTGACCATGTCTGCCACCACCTCTACCTCGACCTCGATCTCCAGTTCTGCCTCTGCCTCTTTCTTTGTTTTCTGACACGAGGGCAAAAGACTACTCTGTACCAGCTTCTTTCCTTCTGCCTTCCTCGTTCATTAGGGCGTCTGTGACCATCTCCATTGTCACTTTACCACCAGGGGCAAAATTGCTGAGAGTAACAACAAGCGTCTCCCAATTATCCGGTAGAGAACTCAAGAGCAATATGGTTTGTTCCTCATCTTTGAGAACCCAATCAGCAGCACCGAGCTGATTTACGAGATCCTGGAACTGACTCGTATGCTCGGTTATGGACATACCACTTCGTAACTTGTGGTTTACAAGGCGCCTCATCAGTAAGGTCTTGTTGCGTGCTGTCTTTTCTTGATACATATTCTCGAGCTTCTCCCAAAGTTTGTACGCATCTGTCTCTTGAGAGACATGATGAAAAACACTATGGTCGATCCACTGTCGAATTATGCCACTGTTTTCCTATTTATTCTCGTCCAAACTTTTTCTGTTTTTGTGTCGGGTTTAACGACTTGCTTTTCTATAGGCTCTGCTAAATCTTTTAGATTAAGAAAATCTTCCATCCTTGGCTTCCACATGTTGTAATTTGTGGGCGTAAGTCGAACCATCGTAATCGTACTTGTAGATTCCATCGAAAATAATTGCAAATTTATTTTACAAATATTTCGAGGAAAAATTAGATAAAACCGAGCTCACGGTTGGACTCGGGAGTGTCAAAAATGGTGGGGTAGAATTTTTCGGGGTCAAAATATACTTACTTGAAAAGTTATGTGTTAATTTGTAACTTTTCAGAACAATAAGAGGTAAACTGTAATTTTCGGAACTTACAGGGGCCAATCTGAAACGTTTCTGCGAACCAGGGACCTTTCTGAAACTTTTCAGAACTCCAGGGACGAAAACAGCTATTTTCAGAACAATAGGGACCGAACTATTGTTTTTCAGATACAGAGGGACCTGTGTGCAACTTTCTGGAACTTCAGGGGCTAAACGGCAACTTTCTAAAATTATGGTCAATGATGACGTCACTGGTGACGTCACTCCTTCTCCGGCCACCTGGTTTTTCCGGCGAGTTTTGACCAACTTTCACCGGCGTTTTGGAGGTCTTCCCGTGGTCA